ACTGACGTTAACTTAATGAACTTCGATCAGATACTACAGATTCCATACAGCATTACACATTCACGAGCTTATCGCTTTTCTTTCAAATTAGTTTCATGATAAGCGCAGAATATATGTGCCGCAGGTCACTATCTAACAAAATACATATCTCCGTTTAAAAATAACCCACTAGGTGGAAAAATTAAAGGGCTGTGTAAGCTACGCATATACATCCGCGAAGACTGAATATACACTAGCTATGTAGGTCCGGCACGACGGTCACTTTTGCTTTGCAGAAAAGTCGAGCAACTCTTGTTCTAATAAAAGCTACATCATCGTTACATAGCCCGCTAAGCCAGTGGGTATCGATTTCCGAAAGTGTTTTACTTCGGCTCCTGAGTGACGCCGGTCGCCCCTCCCCCCTTATTCCCTCTTCCTTTGCTTGAGCTTTTTATCGCCCTTATCTTTTATTTTCTTTGCGAAATTTACCTGTAAAGTCTGTTTACTCCGCACCTTTGTCGACTATTTTATATTCTTACCGAATGTATTACTTTTTTGTGTTTCCTCATAGAGAGAGCCTTTAATTGGTAAATGTTCAAAAAAAATTCTTTTTGATCGAATTATTTTTGGTTTTGCGTTTAAAAATATTATGTTTTTTAAACTGTAACATCTATGCATGCTGTATTAAGTTAGAAGAACTACTTTGAATTTTTTTTATTGAAATCAATGAAAATCCTTCTTTATGTTTACCTGGCATCTGAATACTTTTCAATTTTTTTTTTAATTCAGTGCGTATAATGGTTTTTTCAACACAGGTTATAATAAAGTAGTAGCCATAATTATGGGCTGCGAGCCTCAAAGCGCCAATTAATTTATCTATTTTTCATTATTCTTCTGATACGAGTGTCGCTTTTCATTTCCGTTGCTGTGAGAGATACTGTACACTAATTAATTATCTATTTAGTTAAGCGAAAGTTACTTTTTTTATTTCCTGGAATGAGATTTCACTTGAAAATTGGCCACATTTAATTTGTTTTTGTGTTTATAGAAAAGCAATTGTTTTTAAGCATAGCACTACATATATGCCAATTCTTCTGGCAGCGTTCTTTTTAATCATCTCGATTACGAGAAAGTTTATAACACTTTTTTCATTATGTAAATTAAAAAAAGACTAGGACAAAGTCAGACTGATAATAGAAAGAAACAAATTACCATAAAAATGAAATACATGTACGATCCAAGTCCAGTCGCAATAAAACGTTATTAAAGTATAATTTTCTCTCGCACTCCATCACCAGTTAACCTTATACTGAAGTCGCGCCTGCCTGCCTCACCTCTTTTATCACTCTCAATTAGTCTGAGAAAAAAGCAAAAGGTGATTTTTATCCTCTTCCCTTGATAATACCAATAATACATCCTTACGGTTCGTCACGCTCGTATACGTGTGCGCTCTGCGATGAAATATGAATGAGCGTAATATCCGCGCGCGACTTCGATCTGAAAGTGCTATTTCACTGTAGTCGACTCTATTTTCAACTTTAATGAACCCTAGCTTTTATCTCATTGAAGAATTTTTTTTTTGTTCTTTCTCAGTGACGACTTTCGCACGCTTTGAACGATCGATCTCACTGGAGGCTTGCATTCAAAGGATTGTTATCGCGAAACTCTAATGCATTGCTAGTTTGAAAGTGTCTTCTTCTACAATTACGAACTAATATTGACGCTGAGGGCAATGAGAGTAGTAATTATTTTCACAAGATAATAGCAATGATGATTTTATCCTGTTGATATAGAAATTAGTCCAGTGACAAGAACATCATATCTGCTGACCTTAATAGTTATAGAATTTTTTTTTCACAAATAAACATCACTTGATAAAATCGGGAAAACGCTTGATCGTAAATAATGAATAATTGATTGAAGCTCTGTGGGAAACCACTTTACTTAAGAATTCTATGAACATGTTTATTCCATCTCTCTTTCATTTCCAATATGCCCATTGTACTGAAGTGGAAATTGCACATCCACAAGACAAAAATCAATACAATTACGAACAATTATTTTTTTTAAAGCTATCTACTGGCGACGCTCTATTTCTCCAGTAGTAATATTTGAAAAACAAACCATTCTATTTAATTGTACAATTTATACGTAAAACGTTCTACGTCATCTTTCTCTGTTTTTTAAAAGCAACAAAATCCGCGATAGAACTGGGATTTTCAAACAATACTTCCAAATTTTTTTTGCCAACATAGATATAAAAAAATGAAACCTTATAAAAGAAAAACAATATTTCACCAATAATACTTCAACTTTTTTCGAAAGCAAATGGAAAACAGGGGCGTGAGCTTTTATTTTTCACGTTCGTCGAATCGTTTGAAAACTATACGAATGAAAAAAAAAACGAACGGGGGTAGAGACCAGCAAAACAAACAATTCAGAGCTCAACGATAATCCATTGGGCCGAAGGAGAAATAAGCGAAGTATTGTTAAAATCGTTGGGGGCCAAACAGCTTGCGAAGCCACCTGCCAGCCCGAATTATTTCGACGATTTTTCCACTCGCCATTTGCAAAATGTGAACGATTTACGACTTCACGCGAGGATCTTGTGCATACGTGCAACCAATGTTCAAGCTTTTGGTATAAGGTCGATATTCTTCTCTTTTGTGTTTCCCGAGTACATTCACGAATTATGTCCGATGCCAAGTCAAGGAAAAAAAATTTGAAGGTAAAAATATTGTTTACTTCACGAAATGCTAACTTCAAACATTATATTCAATCAATATGAACTATACTGAATAAAAATCAATAGTTGTTTTTTGCTTTGAATAATTTAAATTAATTCCAATATAAAAGAATAATTCTGAAATAATAACACACACGATTCTTTTGATCACAACTAATGGATCTGATACGAAATATGAATATCATGGAGTGCGTTGGGTATTATTAATCAATGAAGAAGAAGACAAAAAGTCAGAGGAAGCCGTGGAACTGAAATTGCGGAAAAAGTAGAAAGAACAGATGGCTAGGTTCTCGTATAACCCTTTTATCCGTGCGGAGATATTAATGGATCAACTTCCATCCCTCTGTTCGCTGTACAGTGTTCGCTAGAGGGATAATACCCTACGGCTCGTCTACTGCGAAAATTATGTAGGATATTACGCCGAGGTAGATTAAGATCACAGCAATTTTCTTACTTATAAAGCTTATTTCGCAAGGTATATCGAAAACAAGCTCAAAAAAGTGGTATAGTTGATGCAGGTCCTACTGCTATAGAAAAATAGTCATTGCCTTTGACATAGGTTTATATGCAAATATTATTTACAACATCAATTCGTTAAAAAAAAAATAAATCGGTAATGTAAGCAAATTCAGGGATGTAGGAACGCTTCAGTCGTTCAAAGTTTATCTAGTTTTAAAATGAACTCAATTACAACTCGACAAAACGTTAAAAAATTTGTTATCTCAAAAACCACTCTCGACGTTGAAAAGGAAAGCTTTTTGAAAGTGCCTATGCATATTGCAAGCTTTAACGATAGAAATTCGTTAAACTGACATTTACTTCATTAAGCTTGCAATAAATAAACCTTTACATTCAGGGGGTAACAGTGTGAAAGCTATGAACGGAAGAAAAGCTTTCAAAAACTATCAATGCATTTTTTAGTTATACCTTGATTTAAGCACTTTCAATTTCCAAGCAAAGTTAACGGCCTATTTTTATGAGGCAATTAAAATGCAAACATCGTTTTAGTTCACGTTTCGATCATTTTATTTGATCTGTCGAGATAAACTATATGTATACTCTTTTATCGATATTAGCTTGCCGACATGTATGTCATTCAAAGCATATCATTTACATTTTATGGCTCATCGTAAGCACGAATTTTTTTTGCGCGTATGAGATTAAGAAAACTACGTGAAAATAAGTTTCAAGATCAACACCGTCAAGTCAGGCGATAATTGTTATCGATACTGCCTTTAAAACACTCAACAATTAAATTAAGGAAAACATAATTAGTTTCTTAACCATAACATATCGCAAACTATTACGTCACACGTCAAGTTCTAAACACATTAGTCAGCGAAGAGAAACACGGACGTTCTTATTGTATGCCGTTTTAGCACGACGTGCGCACACAGTAATTCGCCAATTAAAAAAATTATAAAAGCATCATCGTAATAGAGTTAAATTAATAGCCATCATCGATAATTATGGGCGCAGTTCCTTGGTTACATTTATGGTACGGATATCGTACGGGAGGTGGAGGTGGTTATCCGTGTGTAGCGAGAAAGGTTGACTAGTAAAATAGCATTGCATGTCACCGGACAATTTTTGCATAATTACCCATGCGCGCACGTGCGCCTTTTGTGAAATACACCCGCGAGTGGTCTGAGTGCTAAAAAGGACACTAAGTGCTATATTGTTTTACCGACAGCTGGATCTGAATCTATATAAAAAGCCAAATTTTCACTAAATATTTTTTACATTAAGGAATAGTTCCCATATTTTTTATGAAAAAAAGTTTTGATCCCGATAAATCATATACGGCACACAATACAGGGGCTGGGCCGGAATTAAGAAATGATAATCAATTTATCAGCTTTCTCAATTACATAAATAATAAATTTCATTCAAAATATAGGCATTAACACATATAGGCTTTTCACATTTTTGTGTAGATTCAGCCTTGGTGTCTACCGACCAACAGAGAGTTCAGGAAAATCTATTTTTTTCCGACAGAGCTGTAGTTGGAAAACAGTTGCATGAAATCAATACTATTATGAAAATTTGATAGCGTAACGCTTCAGCTACGAACATTAGACTTCTATATACAGTATCAATCATTACTCTACATTGATATAGCAATTCAGTGTGTAAATAGACGTCAAAATAAAGAAATAACTATGTAAATGAAACTTTATTGTTATGCTCGTATAATAATAATTATAAGAACATATTGAATGAACGCTGATTGAAGTTATTCCCTTTATATAATTTTACAATAAATACGTCTTACCTCTGATGCCCATTCCAATTCATCCATTTCGAGTCGTCAGAGTCAATACTGCAAAGCTGACTGTCTGAAATCAAATTAAAATAAAATCCATCGTGAGTGGTGAAAAATTAGCGAAGTCAATAACAAAATAGTATAATAATAACAGTAATATCGGAAATGTCTCGGTAACGTTCGAGTACAAAGAGCTTACGACAAAGAGAAGAGAAAAAGTCTTTATCGTCCATTAAACCCACGAGCACTCGTCAAGTGATCATGTCTCTCTCTCCCTGGCTCGCTCTCGATATCTCAATTCTGTTTCCTCCATTAAGGTTTCATTTAGCTTCAGCACGCCAGCGCAAGCAATAGATTCGATTTCCATTCCATTAAGAAGTCGCGCTCTCGTTTTTCACATTGTCCGTCGCTCGGCGAATTCGACTAACAGCTCCGATTGTTTTAACGATATCACACGGCCACGGCAAATCAATCGGAAAAAGTGCAGCAGCGTTATCGGCCTCACCGTAGCTCGATCGTATCCACTAATATTGTTTTTCGCTCTCGCAGACTCTCTCTCTCACCACTTTCGCGAGTGGCTGTAAAATAGCAGTTTTGCCGAAAGAATTTTCGATGGCTAGAGATAATTTCATTAACTGTATCTCAACAATCCAAAAAATTATGACAGTTGACCATTGGAAATGTAATTATTTCGGAAGTAAAAGTCTGTAATAAAATTAAAAGTTAAGTAATCTCCTCGCATGCAGATAGATTCTGATCTAACGTACGTTCATTTTTCTTTCTTTTTATCTGGATCCCGTTTAAGAGTTTATAGTATTACAGCTCTTATAAGCTGCTCAATTTTGAAGTGGGCGAAACTTTCTTTGAGTTATATTCGCGCGACTCAACATCACCGGTAAATTGAAAACTTAATGCAAATCCTGTGAAGATTCAATTTTCCACAAGATAAATCTTTGAAGAAAGTTGATTGAATCTCAACATCTGCTTAATTAAAAATCTGCTCGCGTTATTTTAATCTCTGCACTTTAATGAAGTCGGCGTGTTCTTCTATTCGAATCGAATAGGAAGATCTATAAATACCCGTTTAGAATTAGAGAGCTCGGGAGTCGTATAGAAAAAGGTTTGAAAAAAAAACTGATCCAGCAGAAGCTCCAATCGAACGACTTTCAATGGTATCGGAAAGAACCATTCCTGTGCCAAGAGTGTTCCGCACGACAAATATCCGGGGAGAGAAGTTTCAATTAAAAGTCAATGTCAATTGCAACGTCGAGTTTGCAGCAATCAGGCGAGACAGAAGAAGACTGCGGGCGCACTTACATACACAAGTACCGAAAGAAAAAAGAAAAAAACAAAGAAAGAGCCAATGTGGGCGTACGCAAAACAAAACACCAACCCTGACGATGAGTGCAATGAAAAGCAAGCGATGAAGCGTCGGATGAAAAAGAGAAACGCGAATAACAGCTTAACGTTCGGAAGCTATGTTAAAGAATAATGAAAGATTGCTCAGCTACGCGCAGCGGTGTATATGCGGCCTCGCGAATCCCTTTCAAATACATACCGATGCTTTGCTAGCCGAGATTCACTAATCGTTTCATCCGTACGCAGCCCGGATTTTAGCGCCATCCGCGACCACTTTACGCGCTTTACCAGAACGTCATTCGCGTGTATTTCTCGCGCGGTTGGTTACACAAACCGTATTTATCAGTCACTCGCAGCTGCTTTTTCCCCCCGCGCGAACGTTTAAAAGAGAATGGAAAGTGAGAGAGGAAGGAAAAACTTACGCAAGCAAGCGCTGCAATTGAAAGTGCGCGTTCTTTATTTGCTCGTGGCGATAGCTACGCGGGAAGTTCTTTAGAATTCCTTTATCTCGCCTCCCCTTGTAAAAATAGGGCTTCGGGAGTGAAAAGCTCATCGGCGCTTGCATCAAGGAAAAAAATACAGAAAGATTACACAGCGTCGTTATAGCTTGGCAACGCGTGCGCGAACGAGAGGAAGTATTACGAGAGAGGCGGTGTATAATGCAACCTCGGTAAAGAGCATTAATAAATTTGCCGCTGGCGAATGCGACTGGCGAGCTGCTGCTGTTGCCTCGGAAATTAACCGTTAAATCACGGCATCTCTTGCGCGAGGATTTCCACGTGTGCTTTTTCTGCGTAATCGCCAGCTACTCCGTTCATTCATAATCAAGCGACGCCTCTAGAGTACCAGGTAAGCTTCTACCCTCGTTACACCATCCGACTCGCTTTATTTCGCGCTCGATTTGCTATTCAAGCGAATGCCGAATTCAAACGAAACCCGGCACTATTTGATCGCAGCAAAAGCTCTTCTTATTTATTATCTTGCCGCGACGAGAGCAAGTTGGCAACTCAACGGCGATGCGCATAAAGCGTAATATAAAGACAATTTCCTAATAATAGCCCGATGAAGTGTTCGAGTCAAAAAGTTTTCCATCGTGCACTAATGAAAAGTTTTATCCTCTCCGGAGAATCTACATTCTTCGCGTGTGCCGAGCTCGGGGTTATTACCAAAACTCTAATATCCCAAAGTGAAATTTCGGTCCTACGTTGCCTTTAATAACAATTTTGTTTAACGAGAAAAATATTTCTGTTGTGCTTTTTATTCTTTTCGTTTTATCGTACCCATCAGATCATAAGATCGCATCGAAAGAGTTTTAAAGTCCTTGGATCCGCGCAGTTGTGTAAGCTCTACGGCTAGCAAATAAATTTGCTCGCTGTGCCAAAGTTGTCGAGGACTCCTTTATCTAATTGAAATGTATCGGTTGTTCAGTTGTTCAGTTGTTTTCGAACATGACTCATCCATAAGACTTTTTCATTTCCCAATAAAGTCGTCACAATTAATATTGATTATCACTATTATCCAATTAGCCAAGAAGAAGCTTAAATGATGAACTATAAGATAATGAAGAGTCGCTAAGACCTCAATTATCTCCATGCGTAAATAGCAGCGTTATTAGAACATGCATCCGTTCAATCCTAATTTCCAAAATTCTCTCGCGCAGGCTAAAAATATTTGCGAAATACTATCACGATAAATTATCCATTGTCTCGCACGTTGCGTGTGAATAATTGAGCTACAACCTCGATGTAAAGCAAAGAAACGATGTGGGCAAGATAGAGGCAATCGTTCAATCGTTTCAATTTGATTTCCGAAGATATACGTAGGCAGAGGCGACACGTGACGAGAAGACTGCAAATCCAGCAACGATCACTTGCTCGCGATATATGGGGTAGAGCAAAGGCCGGCGTAGTAGTACAAATTAACCGCCAACCGCAACTCGCGCTTCAATAACACAGCCGCGCGCGCGCGCCATCGATCCACGTTGTCACGAGCATCTCGCTCCACGTTTACACGTACAATGCAGCTATATACCCTGTCCCTCCTCCTGTTGAAAGCTTATGCACGCGCTTGCTCAAGTTTTCTCTTTCTATAGTGTTTTCTCGGAAATACACCCTATAGACGCTAATTTCCAGACTGAACTTTTCTCTCTGCTCTATAGCTCCAGCGTGCAGCTCACGCGCGGCGCACAACTTTATTTTCTTTTCAATTGCTCGACGACGAAGCTCCGATTGAAATGCTAATGGCGGCATTACTCGGAACGATAAAAATCCTAATTAAAATACTCAGCTAAATCAAAGCCCCTGGTGGGATTGTAAGCCGCTCTCTCGAAAAGAAAAAGTTGCACTCGGACAATAGATGCCACCTGGAATAGTCCCCCTTTAACTTTGAGAAATCATAGCCCGTAAAGACGGTCGCGGCCAAAGAATTATTGCCATAGCCGTTGCGTGCAGCGTGTCTACAATGGGGTAAGAATCGACTACAAAAAAGAAACGCCAAGCGTGCGTAGTGAAAAGCACGGCGGAGTGGTCAGTGAAATATGTAAGAGAATTAAAATGGGCGAATTTTCACCTGCGAGCTTATGCTAATTCGCCCCCACGCGAGGCTGAAAATAAGATGCGCGCGTGCTTGCGCGGAATCAAGATTCCGCGGATTATTTAAGATGCCACGTGCATCGTGCTAATTCCAAGTAGAAAATAAGAAGATAATAAGGGAATAATTGGCTTGCGCGTAATTACGATTTTTAATTGGACACACACCGTAAAGAAAAAGACATAAACATCGTTCTAATTACGAAGTATTATTCGTCGGTAAATTTGGATCATCAGCTTTTTGCGCTCGGCTTTACGTGCTGTTTCATATCATGAATTGCGGTAATTAGAGTTTGACGAAGCAAAATAAACGCCACGCCGCGTCGATAATGATGAATTAACGTTGATTCGTCTCGAATGAACGCAAATAAATAACTTGGATTACAATGATATGCACTGGGTTCGTTTGTGTGTGCCTTGTCAAATTGTTTTGGCATGTCGTGGCGAGGCTCGTCGCTAATTAGAGGCAAAATTTACAATTCAGTTTGTAAATTCATTTGGCGCGCGCATCATTATCCGCGGGGTCGGGCGCCGCTGCAGGTCCGTTTTAATCAAAGTGAGGCTGTGTGTCGCGCGACCGACTGTAACTCGATTAACGTAATTTCATTCGATCGGACCCATTATAGAAACGCTGATGACCGTATGCGCGGTTTCCGATGTAAAGGACTCTCGACGTTCATTGAATTCGATGCGCCATGGAATTATCATTCTTTTTTTTAATCTTCCCTTTCTTTCATTTCGCAATGCGAGAGGGCTTTCAATGTATTGTTCGTGTGACATGCGTCGAACGCGACCTTATCAAGTATGTTATGAATTTCTTTCGTTATTTTGATATTCGTTTGGTTTGAAAATTGAGAGTGACACTATTGAGTATATTGCAATTTTTATTACACTTTTTTTTTTCATTTACGTGAAATGATCGCGTGACACGTACTGACAGATCCTCTTATCTGCTTTTTCATATCTTTTCAGCAAGTATTACATTGAAATAAAAACGATTTTCCACGTAATGTCCCCTAATTACTAAAGGAATAAAAGGGAAACGAACGATTCATTAAGAAGTAATGTATATTTACTCGGAGCAAACGCGAAAATCGAAAGTTCTCTCGGGGGAAAATCACTTGGC